TGATCATTCAGCATGTAAGTGATGGTTGAAACGGAATGTGTTCTATGCATACCGCGAAGATGTAAACATATCCATATTCAGATAGCTTTGTCAATTGAACACCACTCAACACTTCAATGGTGAAAAACAGAGGTTGGTTGCACATAAATTTATTTATATAAATTTCAAATATCAAATAAATTTATCTGATATTTTTCATGCGTTGTGTTGTTCTAACGCATTTGCCAGCTTTTTATTGCTGGAATGAGATTTTCGTTTTGTTCATTTACCGTTATTTGTCAACAATTCTGCCACTGTGTCACTACATAGTATATATAGTCCATAAGAATTTTTCGACCGTCTACATGGGGAGTTTGTATGAAAACCTCGACGCGCTGCTGGTATTGCATTGGCTTCTATGGCCAAATGTACACATGGAAATATCTCGAAAACGGCTGGGTTAATCGGCAAAACTGACCATGATGTCACTCCCAAAGGGAGTGTAAACACCCGGCTGGTTTGACGGCCTAGAATACAAATCCGGTGGAATTTGGGCTGATCCATGGATTCTCAGGATTCGACCTGATTCTAGCACTTCAATTTCTTTCATAACAAAATATAGGTAGAATGTGTTTACAGATGCACATAAAAAAGGAAGCACTGGAATCTGGCCAAATCCTGAGAATCCATGGATCAGCCGAAATTTCACCGGATTTGTATTCTAGGCCATCAAACCAGTCGGTCCATTTTGCCGATTTACTCAGCCGTTTTCGAGATATTTCCATGTGCAAACATTTAATAATATCATATTCAATTGCATTGGCCTATATGGAAAAAAAACTCGAGCGTCGAAAACTTATGCTATTTCGCTCACACTTATGTGCAATTTTCAAGTGTATTATAATCGGTTGTTCGACGAACAACACAGTTGCTTGCTGGTCCGATGCTGAAAATTAACGCGCAATAGACATTACACACACAAACGAGATTGTGCATGTTCTGGCAACGTTGCTTTATAAGCGATTATGAATGAACGTAATGAAAAATTTACTCATTCATAATCGGTTGTAAATCGCGCTAGATATAATCGATTTTGAAAAGTGAGGACCTTTTTTTTTTTAGTCCTCACTTTTTTGGGAGACTGGTTTTACACTAGATAGAATCTATTTCCAAAAGTGAGGACCTTTTTTTTAAGGTCCTAATTTTTTTTTCACCCATTTATAAATTTGCATCCATGTTGCAAAAGTTGATTCGATTGTTATGATTCATCATCGAACAAAGATAATATTCTATGATTTGAATAAAAATAAGAAGAATTACATTGGTAATCCCGAACTTTTCCGTACCGTTGGCCTGCGTTGTCTTTTGGTTATTTTTCGTGAATTTTCTTGAAATAAAGGCAGTGAAAATATGATAATGAACATAAAGTGAAAAATCGGTCACTTTAACTAAAACTTCGACAATTTTGTATGAGAGGTACCCGTAAACCGATTCTTAATGGCTTTAGACTTTCTGAGGTTTAATTTTTTGGAGAAAAAATAAGATTCTGAAAGTTTCATGTTGATCGCATTTGCAGAAGTTTGGTTTTTGGCCCTCAATTTTTTCCAAGAAAATTTCCACAAAAATTGAGGACAAAAAATCAAACTTCTGCAAATGCGATCAACATGAAACTTTCAGAATCTTATTTTTTCTCCAAAAAATGAAACGTCAGAAAGTTTTAAGCCAATCGGAGTCGATTTACAGGTACCTCCTATACAAAAGTGTCAATTTTTTGAGGTTTTTCTTGGGGCAAGTATCCCAGGGTCAAATCGAAAATGGGTCATCTTCGAACTTAAACTAAGTTTATTGGATACAAAACTTTTGGGACTTTCAGATTTGGATTATCTCAATTATTTTTTGAGTTATCGTGTTTACAAACAGCTACGACGACGACAACGACAACGACGACGACGGCACACGAACGGAAAAGTGTCTCAAAAAGTGGTTTTCTACGCGTTTCATGAGTTTTTATGATGATCTAAGCTAATTTTGCGAAAAAAGTTTTCGGGACCAATTCCTATACTTTCCCTTGACACGTTGTGTACGGAAAAGTAAAAACCATCACAATTTCCATTTGCAAGCATTTTTAACCGCTCCATTCAAAAGCATCGTTGACCCGCCCCGTCAAACAGAAGAGAAAATGAAAAGAATGAAAAAGCACAAACAAACGAATACAAATTCATTTCTTTCAGATTTTTATCGCAAATATTAAATTTCAATATTTTCGTTCTGTTTGTTCGAGAGTACGATTTGGTGCGGCTATTCGAAATGTGAGTCCAAATCTCACAACGAATGGATTGAAGAACAAATCGAAAACTTTTATCGCTGCTTCTTTTTTTCTGCTTACAACTCGTATTTTACCCTCTTGAAACGACGATCTTCGTATTGTTGACTATCCCATTATTTCAAGCAAATAAAAAAAAAAATGTAAAATGTTGACGCTCTTTCTCTTTCACTATTCTCCCCCGTTGAATATGTTCCCGGCGACGGTTTCGTTTAGTGTGCAAGGATCAGGGAGTGTAACTCCGAGGAGGAGGAATGGTGGGGAGGTGAATGAGGAGGAGGAGAGCGCTGAGGAGGTTCCTCCTCCTCACATGAGGAGGGAATAAAAATTACCAAAATTGAGGCATATAAATTTATTTTAAACACTTTTATTGATTTTTAACGAATGCAAACGATGAAAAAACTACGATCAAAATCAATAGATGTGTTTAAAATAAATTTATATGCCTCAAATTTGGTAATTTTTATTTCCTCCTAATGTGAGGAGGAGGAACCTCCTCAGTGCTCTCCTCCTCCTCATTCACCTCCTCTCCATTCCTCCTCCTCGGAGTTACACTCCCTGGCAGGGATTGTTCGCTCCAAGTGTGCAAGGATTCCGAGCAAATCCTTACTTCATGCCAGAGCCGTACCGTGGATTTTTTCATCACATTGCGCTCAAATGTTGCATGGTGGTAGCTTTCGCCTAGAAAACACATATTTTGAAATAAAAACTGCTGGGGCTCTTGGAACTTTTTGGAGTTATGGGTCAAAAACCTCAAAATTGCGCAATAAATCGAAATTCCGAAAAGTGGTCCGATTTAGATGAAAATTGGTACACAGCACAAATGGGAAAATAGAAGAATTTTGGTCCAAAAAACTGGTCCGAACTGGTCCAAATTTTTAAAAAACCATTTTCGGATTTTTTTATTGCGCAATTTTGAGGTTTTTGACCCATAACTCCAAAAAATTCCAAAAGCACCAGCAGTTTTTATTTCAAAATATGTGTTTTCTAGGCGAAAGCTACCACCATGCAACATTTGAGCGCAATCTGTTAAAAAAATCCACGGTATGGCCCTGCTTCATGCTTTCTCTCTTCAAAACTGTATCCATCTTGTACGTTTCGTCCGATAGATAAATTTCCAGCAGAAAATTGGGGATACACGATTTCTTGTTCAAGTGTCCATTCTTGGACCCAATCAATTTTTGAGGAAATCGTAAAAATATGAATGAATTGCCATTAAATATCAACAAATATTTCCGAATAGAACGAGAGATACGTATCAAAAGCTACTCAACCGAAATGAGAAGTGACTAACATGTGTTTGGTTCTCGGTAGTGGGAGTGCGGTTCGATTGCGTGCACATCCTTTTCAAATGTTATTCAAATTAGGTAGGATTATTTGTAGCATTTGCGGCAAAAATTGATTTTCACTCGAGCCAATTTGACGCAAGTCGAAATACGATAGCAGCGGTTAAGTATGATGAATCAAGGTGGATGAAAATGTTTGACATTTTGCGGGAGACGAGCATAGGCATCATTGATACCGCTCAATAACCGTTATCATTTTTTCACGCATTCTGTCGATTCAGCATTTCGTCTTAAGATGCAGCCAGTAACACACGATGCTACCTGTATATATTCGATAGATTGCGTTCAGATATATTATTTGCTATGGCTTTTGGATGAGAATATACATTTCCCGAGGTGTATTGTATGGAATCGATAATTTTGATTGTGTGTCGTGCAATCACACTATTTGGAATGCGATAAATTCCGATGAATAGCATAATGCAGCGCGCATTCCAAACAGATTACAGTTCAAGTGATTTACTGTCATTGTTGAGATAGCTGAATGCTGAATTACGAACGATTGCATGACAAATCTAATCGAAAAACCATCAACATCATCAGACTGGCTCGTTCTAGCAAAATTGCTCTCATACCAAATCAATACGTATTTAATAATTGACTTCCATTCTGTTGGAATATTTTACCGATAGAGAAATACGGGCCAATCATTTTGATAACGTGTTGTGCAAAAAGGAATGTTTAACGAAGGAGGCGTTGAATGAAAAAAGGCGCTTTTAATTTCGAAACATTTTTCTTAGCAAACAATTGATTATAGCATTTTGTTGGATAAATTTCCGCTTTTTTTGGGATCGATTGTAAATAGCTACTTATGAATCAGCCCCATTGAAGCGCTTGTGTCTGCTGGAAGTGACAATGGTGCGTATATTATTTTCACATGAAATTAGATTGCAAATTCCAATCTAACGAAATTGATAATATCAATTGTGTTGGAAAACGTTTCACTCTTGGTGTCACATTTGTTTTTGTTTAACATCTCTTCATAGCACCTTTTTAACATGGAAGAATGTTAAAAAAAGTGAAATTTTAGATTAGACCAGCCAGATATTCATCTATATGAATAATGAATGTATACCATTTCCGCAAAAATTGAAAAGGGTGTTTTTTGTGTATCACACAACTGAATTTTAAATGAGCGTGTATGCCGAAATGAAGGTAACTTCCTGTATGAGAGAAACGATACATATCACTTGTCACAGCATGTTCCCAGAAAAAAATAATGCGTCGACTACCTTATCTCGCCCGTCATTATGAATTAACGTATCAGGTGTGCGCTAATATACCATCAACCATATGAATTCCAATCTGATGAAAAACCATGGTTAACACCTATGTTTTTTGCAAATTGCTACCTACCCTCGTAAGTATGCATTTGATTATTTTTGGGATTCACGCGCGCCCAACAACAAAAATATGCCGAGTGTGAACAGTAAACACAATGTTCGTGAAAAACACAAACGAAATTCGATGAAATTGTATCAATATTTGTAATGTAATCCATTTTGACTGATGTCTATTTGGCAAAATTTCGATACATTTCATCATCACATTTTTCACATTTTTGTTATGTGAATTGAAACTTTTCGATTCGATCAAATACATCATACATTTCAACTTTTAACTCACATTTTACATTTCCAAGCATTTGGATTACATTTCAATATTGAAATACCGGAATAATAACTGCCATGAGAGGCATTTGATGGAGAAATGAATTTTGTAGGGATTCGATAAAGTGGTATTATGCATGAGTGAACGATTTGCCAATTACGATGTTTGGCTTTCAGCAATATTGCGATTGTATTTTGTTCTATCTAGCCATGGTTGTGAATAGGTGTCTATGGAAGCAACAGTTGAAAGTTAATTTTTGAATTAGTCATTGCATTTTGATGTCAATATATTTTCACGGCATTCCACCTGACTATCAAAATCTAACCAGTAAATATCGAATGAATGTGTGCAAATTGTGCCTGGATTCACATACGTTTTCGTTCCCGTAAGCTCAAAAATAATGTAATCGGTGCTTAAATTTGGGGCGAAAAGCACTGTTATTAGAATTTTGTAATTAACATATATTTTATCAACATGAAAATGTAGATTCGTTCATTATTCACGGAATGGCATTTCGTAATTGCTACTGTTCACACCTGCTAAGTTGGATTGTAAACAAGCGTGAACGTGATGGGCATCGGGTTCGGTGATTCTGTGTGAACAGTGGCGGCTATTCGATTAAACATCTTGCTCTGCATGTACAGGCGAATAAATTATGATAAAAGCTAAATTAGGCAACATTTTATAACTGGGCCCTGATATATTACTAGAAGGACGGAGAAGGACGGAAAAAATGCTCATTGCCTTGCAATATGAAGATAAAAACTGTTCCTGTTCTTTTTGATGAATGAACGCTTTTGAAATGTAAATACGACCACGTAACATAAAAAGCAAAGCAAGGAGTGTTACACAAAGGGAAATATTTATGACAGTGGTATATTTTCTGCAAATCAAGCATGCATAAAAAAGATTCATCATGATGTGCGCCGCCATTGTACAAGGAGGCGGATGGATGTGTGTGTGTGTGTCTGGTGGATGGTGAAATGTAAGTAACAGAAGGAGCTTGATACTTACTCGTTTCAGTTTCATTTCCCAAATAATCTTTTGCGAAGAGATAAAGTATACCGTAGGAAAGTTGAAATCCAGTCGTCATAACATGGGCTAGGAAAGCTACACCGCATACTATCCAACCCCAGCCACCTAGTGAACAATCACAAATGTTGTTATTCGGGCTTCGAAATCATGAATGCAAACAATCTTTACTTACCGTCTGGATAAAAGTGCTACACACCGTACAGTATGAGGGCGAGAGTAGGATAAAAAACAACATGAAAGAAATGAAAAGAATGAGTGAAAAGTTAATATGGAATTAAAGAAAACGCAACAGCAAGCACGAAACGTATCAACCGAGCCAGAGATGGTGCTACTCAAATGACAAAAGTTCATTATGTTGTGTTTGATAATTAAGTTTTAATGTTTTTTCATCAGGTAAATGTATAAACAGCGGTGAAAAAACACGACAACAAAATCAGGAAGACAACACTCTCTTATCATAGTCGAAACAAACGAACAACTCATAATAACAGAAGAAGCACACTGAAGAGCAAAATATCATTTGTTTTTACAATGAATTGTGTTGTGCTACTCTTTTTCGCCTATACACAGCTGCGCGCCCTTTTACATTCGAGTGGCATAACTTCTTAATGATGTTGTGAATGAAGTTTGCGGATAAGTCAATCTCTTTTAATTGAAACCGTCTTTGTTTTGAATAAACAACGCATTTTAGTGTCTTGAAGTGTGTTCAGGCATCGGCTGATTGTTAATGTATTCACAGTGCGCGAAAATTACATTTCATCTTTACTTACCTGTCGAATGGCGTTCGCGTCGACACCAGCTCTTCGGAGGCCAGGCACATTCCGATGTATTGAATGAAATTCACGTTCAAGTAGCGCCGGGCATGCTGAGTCTTCTTCTTCGTAATAACGACCTCCACGGCCATCGTACCCTTTTTTTCACAAGAACAAACGAAACAACAACAACAAGAATAATCAAACAAATTGCTTTTATCAACACAATTATCGATTATGAATTTGTTTTTGATTTAATTAATTTTTTCAACCGGAAAAACAGATAACGTTCGCACAATCATCCAAAATACACAGTATCGAGTTTTCTCAGCGCAATAATGATGAGAAATTCAATGTTGATAATAATCACGGAGGACGATAGTCCGACAAGTGACGCACCACTTGCAATGTGCATTCCAAGACTGTGCAATGTGCATTCCAAGCCAAATATCAAAAATGCCAGTCACGAGTACGACTTTTGGACGGCAAAACGCTTTAAAGCTTGGCTTGAAGACTAAATTCAAAAGTCGTGACGCGATATTTTTCCTTATTGTAAATGAATTTTCACAATAGTGAATGCGAAAAACACTTTTGAACTTCGTTCCCAGTAATACAGCTTCCTAGCGTCACTCAAAATGATATCAGTTATTTTGATTGGTAAATCCACGTACGGAGCGTCGCTCCATTTTAACCTCGTCTAGAGGTTTTTCACCTGATATATATATCAATAGAATGCCAATCGAAATCAACAGGGAGCAATGGCTATATGTCGTTTTCTGTCAATGTGAATTTCGACTCAATCGAAAGGAATGAAGCAATAAAAACGAACGACGAACATCATGAAAATCAATCACCTCAAATGTCCTTTCGTCTCATCATGAAACTCAATCACCCGGCACAAATTCCAATTTATAAAATAAATTATTATTACGCTTCATCCACTGATTGGGTCTAGGGGCTGCGATCAAATTTTTCTCCTCTGAATAAGCTTCAATATAACAAATAATGATAATTTGTAACGATTCTATGACCTTTTTCAAATATTTAACCGATATGCGAATATTTAGCCGATATACCAATGTTTCGTACTAAAATTGGTAGAGATATTTAGATGACGCGCACTTAAGCTATTGCTCAAGTACCACGTACTTGATCTATTGCTCAAGTACCACGT